ATAGAACACCTTACCACGTATTTCAATAAAACTGTACAGCTTGTAAATGTGAACTGAAATAACATGGTAGAAACACAGATGTTACTGGGACAAATAATTGCATATATGTATATTCATCTTTTACCTTTGTGATTCACTCTACTTTCTGGGTATAGTTGCTGCCTCTAAATGTATCTGCCTCTAGGGCTCTGTGTCAAAAAATGATGGACTGTGAATATTTGTATATCATTCTCTTACACATTTTATGATTACATGCTAAAGCTGGATTATGCATAAGACAGTTTAGGGATGAGGATGCTCCTCAAGTTATTAAACATATGGTCTCCTCTGCCTCATTCTCTGGGTCTCTGGTACCTTAGTTTCAGATGCCGTCCTGCCCACTCAATGGAGTTTTTGTGATTATCAAAGAAAGCACGTTGATGAATGTATCAATATAATTATCTTTTCACTCTCAAGATTCTCCAAATTCTCTACCAAATATTCAGTGTTAAATAAACTTTTAAAATGTTGTTTTTCATGGTTATACTCTTCATTATTATTCACAAAATTGATAGCAAGACAAAGGAACTAAGCAGTTTACTAAAGGGTCCATATGTCAGGCTAATACATCTGCTATAATTCATTAGCCTGTTTCAGTAATAATGGAATTGCAATTTCAATAAGTATTTTATCCCCTGTTTTGATAATTGGTAGAGATGAAGTGGTATCTTAGCATTTTCCTCTAATTTCTCCCTCAGTGCTGGGCTCTATCTGTGTCTCTGCCTGTCTTCTTTCATTGTTACCAAAAGCTGGTTACTATCCTTTCATGATTTCATTCAGAAATTTCTATGATGGCATTGGAATGTTCTCAAGACTCCCTGAAATTCTTTTTTGACTGAGGTAGAAATAGGTAAAAGAATACTTCTGAGATTCAATCTTAACTTGGAGCAGGCAAGTCTCAGGGAAAAAACATACCAGAACGATTTCTTGCCTAAAATGCAAATTTGGTCATGACCCTCCTCTATCTTTAGATTACTGCACAAAGTAAAATAACATTTTATGGATAATGATGGAGAAAGTTATATCATCGAGGAAATGATTTGAACAAAGCTTCCACTAGCTTTTGAATGTTTCTAATATCTCAATGAGACAAAATTGCAAATTGTCACTATATTCAAAATCTTAAATTGGTTTTGCATTTGAGCTAATGAGGTTGGAATACATTTCTGTACGCTTTAAAAATAAGTAAATAAAAGGTGAGCACAGAAAAAAAAACGAAGCAAACAATAATTACATACACAACAAATGTCCACTAAAATAAAATCTAGAATGCTTAATGAAACTTCATTCATGCTAAGAGCCTGTCTGTTGACAGTCTTTCATTTCCAGTTTGAACATGGAATCATAAAGGCAAACTTTTATCAATCTCTTAAAAAATCTAAAAGTAACAACAACAACAACAACAACAACAACAACAACAACAACAACAACAACAGTATGAGAAAGCACAGCTTAATTTTCTTAAAAAACCCTGGGCTCTAAAGTAGATGTAACAGCTGCTAAAATCAGCAGAGATGCAATCAGAATAGGAAGATGCTACACAGGGGGAAATGGCACGGAAATATCACCAAAAGACAAACACGTAATGAAAGGAGCTAACAGTTGCAGCTGTGGAACACAAAAATTATTCTTGTCAAAAGTAACTCTCAGAACTGAGGTCCAAAAGCTATATTTAGTGTTTCTAATAGCAGGAGAAGTGACTGGAGAGGTGCCCTGCAACTGATTTGGTTCTCTGTTACAGTATGGCTCTAAATAAGCCAATCTACAATATGACAGCTCACATAAATGATACTTAATTATTTCTCATGATTATGTGGGGTGAATTGGCTTCTCTATTAGGTGGTGTCAGATGCTTGATAGTTGGAGAGTCCAAAATGGTCTCATTCTCCTGGCTTGCCACTGGTGCTGCCATGGCCTTTTTTTTTTTCTTTTTTTTTTTAACAGGGCCTCTTAACAGGGCTCTTTGGGCTTCCTCATAGAACAATGGATTCAGGGTAGCAAGATCTCTGACATGAGGGTTAGACTGCAAGAACTCAAATGTGAATGGTGGCAGGCCTTCTTAATGCTTTAGCCTGGAATTGTCACATTGTAACTTTTGCCTCATTTCACTGGTTAAAGCAAAGTCAGCCCAGATTTAAGACGAAGGGAGTACAGAAAAGCAAAAATAATGGGATGGATGGTTCTTGGGGAGTCCAGAGTAAATCTACCACAACAGGCTGGACAAAGAATATTACCATCAGGCGATATTTTCAGGAAGCATTCTGCTTATTGCAATGGTGTAAATGGGAATGTCTAAAGAAGAAAAAAACATATTCTCTGTCTTCAATGGCTAGGGAATAACAAACACTATAGGAACACATACAAACTATTATTTTGTAAGAAAAGTCTTACCTAATTTAGAGGAGAGCCTAATTTATAGAAGAACAGTACTGCCACCAACAAACCAAACCAAATACACATTACTGCAAACAGCTGAAGAAATCTGTATCTTTCAGTGGTGAATCACAAAAAAGAAGCCAATATAGTACCTATATCAAGATACTACATAGAAAATTTGGAGAGGAGTGGGGTTGGAAGGAAGAAACTAAGACAAAAAATAATAATTATAAAGAACCTTCATCAGCAAGAAAAATTATAGGGTGTGAATGAAATTTATGACCAAATTTAAACCATGATTACCAAAATAAAACAAAGAAAATCCCTCAAAAAGCAATCATTCCTATCAAGTTCACAAAGCAGAAATACAAGAACTCAAAGAATTAATAGTAATTTAGTGGAAGAAAATGAAACATGGAAATGCATATTAAAGCATGAATAGCATCCATCAAATAAATAAATGAAAATATAAATACACAGATTGTGATAAACTTGGTGAGAGATCTAGAGGTTATAAAAGAAAAATATTCAAATCAAAATAACAAAAAAAATGAGATAGAAAATGGTAGCACAAGGAGATAAACCACGACTTTGAGAGACTGGAGAAAAGACAATTGAAATAAAGGAAAATTTAAAACAAAGAAGTGTATAATTCAAAATATTTGCTAAAAATTTTAAACAAAAAACATATTATAAACTACGGATGTCACATTGTATGCTAGAGTAAATCAGATGACAGATATTGATTTAGACCTAGTAATATTTCTGGAATTAAATTGTGAAGACAAAAATAATACCACTTCTATGGGAAAAATTTTATTGTATAGCTCAGACTAAAATATACAGAATTCTCATGGAAAGAAAATGTAATTTTATTCCTCTTACTCAGATTTAATAGCAATAACAGTTTTAAACAAACAAGAATATAGGGAATATTATCACTATGAGACATTATTGAGAAATCTACTAGAGAACAAACTTCAAAAATGGAAATATGATTGTAAAAACTATAACAGACGAATGGACAGTAAGAATGAGTATGTTTAATGGCTCAACTAAAACTAAACCTAGTAAGTAATTAACATTTTACCAAAAATAATCTGAGTTTTATATATCTTGACGGTACAAAATTACAAAGATCTTTTCTCTAATCCCACTCTCTTAAATACAGTATTTTTATTAAATTATGTAGGTAACATTTTGAGAGTGATAACTGTATCCTGTAGTATTCCTGTTGTCAAAACTCAGAGAAATATGCAGAGCTTTTATGCTTATATTAATACTAAATGTTAATTAAAATAAATAGAATAATCATCCAAGTCAACTAGCTAGAAAAATAAAAATCAAAGGGAACAAAGTTTACAAAGAAAAAAAATGTATTTTAGAAGATACCAGAATTTATAAGTAAGTTCCAAAGACCCTGTTTTTAAAAAAGAATAATAAAACAGGTAAGCCAATAGCTAAAGTAATTGAAGAAAGAAAAGTTTTGAAAAGACACAAACAAAAATCCTTAAGGGAAGCTATCCATAGATACAAAAAAATTATAAGACTAATAAGATACTTTTTTTGCTAAGCTTTTAAATGAACATAAAAAATCTGTATGAAACGTAGTTTTCTAGAAAAATATAATGTATCAAGTGACTCGAGAACAGTTAGCAAACTTAATCAAACAAATTTTCCAAAAAGAATTAGAGAAAAGCTTGAAGATTAACATTTTCCCATTTCCTCACCAACCCCCTCAGAAGCATTAAGCACAGATGTTTTCCTTGGGGAATTCTATCAAAAATTTAAAAGTCATATCAATTCAATGACGTTTATCTACCTATAAATCATATAAAAAAGAAAATAATAACATTCCAGATCCTTTTAAGCAAAAATAATCAATGCTAAAACCTTGCAAGTTTAAACGAAACAAAAAAAGCTACAATGTCTAATTCCCAATTTAAATATTTATGTGGAAATTGTTGGTAAAATAGTCACAAAGAGAACACACATATTTAAAGTATAGTAAAACATGAGCAAATAGTGTTTATTTTATAAAAATAAGGATGTGTCAGTATCAGGATAAATCTTATCACATTATTGTGTATTATATATGATTATATAACTATCTTCATATATAATATCAGATCTAGAACTATCATCATAATTATCTTAGAAAAAACAGTTTACTTTCATAAAACATGACCAGGCATTTGGAAAAATTTTAAATCCATTATTGATAAATAAGTCCTCAATAGAAGAATACTTTTTTAAAGGCGAATGTCAATGGACCTTAGTACAAGAATGAATAGCATACATGAAACGTGGAGCCTACCCACTACATAGTATCCTTTCTGGAAGCCAGCAGAAATAAAACCTCTTCTGTGACCTCATAAGTTCATCCACAACCCACCTGCAGTGTAACTTGGACTATTATTAATTTATAGGTCAAACTTCTCAAAGGCAGTTATGTCATCTTACTTATCTTTTCACTTTGGAGTCTTACCTGGGTTTCCAGGCCATATGCACCAAGAACTATGAAGGATTTAGGATTTGATATGCTACCCTACTTACAAGCCACCGACTTATATTACCTTACTCACAAGTTAGGCCAACAGAGTTTCATGGAGACTGGCATAAGGCACAAATCTCCGGAAGAGGAGACTCATGGCTCATAGGAAGTAGCATGAGATCAGCTTGTTGGTGTCAGTTACACTGGCTCCCAGGTTCCACAGCAGCCACATGTATGGACCAAATGGATGTCTGCACACACAGTGGGTTGCACTGCAGGACAAAAAATTTGAGTTTAGGAAACTGAAATCTTTAGACTGGTCCATAAGCATGTGCTCCCTTTGGCCTAGAGGAAGGCATTATGTTTATTACACTGGACTGTAAGCATGTCTGGCTTTTGCACTGGAGGGAGAGAGTATCTCTATCATCCAAAGATGTTTACTAAACAATTTTTTTTAAAGATAGCCTGTAAAAAAGAGCAGTCAATATTTCGTGCCATAAGATGAACAGAAGTACATGAGACTCATGGAGAAATGAAGCAATAACACAGTTAAATATTCACTGAGTAAGTGAATTATAACTGGTGAAAGAAAGTCTTATAATGCCCATTTAAAATGTTATTGCCCCCACTTAAGAGGGCATAACTAAAACTTGGGTTCTTTTAGGTTCAATATAGACATGGAGAATGTGGCAAAGGAAACATCTAGCCAACCAGCTCTCCTTGCTCCCTGCCCTTGAGGGGCATCTTTACCTGAAGTTTAAGAACCCCAGAGCAGCTATCAACATGGGCAAGGGAATCTTATATCTATCAAAAAAATCATATTTTAGGCCAAACATCTGGAAAAAAAGATACATTAGATCAAAGTGTATTTTTTCACATAAACAAGTAATTAATTTATCATTTATTCTTTTTTATTGAAGTATAATTAATTTACAATGTTGTGTTAGTTTCTGGTGTACAGCATGGTGATTCAGTTATATGCATATATATATATATATTCTTTCTCATATTATTTTTCATTATAGGCCATTACAAGGTATTGAATACAGTTCCCTCTGCTATACAGCAAGAGCTTGTTGTTTGTCTATTTTATATATAGTAGTTTGCATAACTGCATATCCTGAACTCCTTATTTGTCACTCCTCCCCCTCCCCCTTTGGTAACCATAAGTTTATTTTCTGTGACTGTGAATCTGTTCCTGTTTTATAATTAAGTTCATTTGTGTCATTTTTGTAGATTTTACATATAAATGAGAACATATGATATTTGTCTTTCTCTTCTCATCATTTATTCTTATAGTATGAATTGATTTCCTATTTATGACAGAATATCACCCAATCATCTCTATTTTCCCATTAGCGGGTCTGCTACTAATGGACAGAGGTCAGTTATTAAGCTCTCACATTCAATCTTTTAAAATTGATTTTGCTGGTTTCTGGAAGTTCGAGAAAGTATCTTTGATAAGACATGATCCTAATGGAGCTTGTTTTATTTTTATATATATTTTATATACATTTATTACATATATTTTATATACATATTTATATATATATACAACATGTTTTATTAGACATTTTCAATAAGAACTATGTTGGTTAAATTTTGCTTTACTTTTATTTTACATTTTACTTTAATACATAAGGGAAACACAGTTAAGAACACTTAGTTTCAACAATTAGAATTAATCCATTCGTGCTGTGAAATTCTTATTCTAGAAAAAGGTACCCTTAAACAGAAATTTTTCCTCTAGAATGCTCAATTATCTGTGCTCAAAAGTACTGGGTGAAATCTCTGGTAGATGTTGTTAAACATTTAAGGTTTTCCAAAACATAAATCTAATAAAAAGGATGAAGGACAACAATGTTAATACATTTAGAAAAGGCCTCATAAAAATGCCAAGTTAAAGTTGTCTCTGATGATTTAAGCAAAACAGTAAATTCGGGAGTAAAAAAATAGCTCCATGCTGCCTCATACCATCAAAAGGGGTAATTTTTTGAAACTTTAAGAAATGGCAGGTTTTCCCTAATTGGAAATAAATCAATAATATAAGTCAAAACAAGTAGGCTATTTATAACGTGGGCATAGTGCACAGTAGGTTTTCAAAACTGACTATGTATGCATGTATGAACGAATGAATTTAGGGATAAAGAGTTACTGATATATAAATCTTCAGGTTGCCCTGGGTCTCTTGGCTAATAAAATAAATATGGACTAGTGGTTCAATCCATCTTCCCCCTTATATCAAAAATACACATTGATCAAACAAAACAAAAAGATAAGAAAGATGATAGCTTCAGAAGTCCTTGCAGAATAACATGAAAACGAGAACTCAGCTCAAACTACCTCTCCCCAACCTAATGCAAATTTCACTGGGAATCAGCATAGCCTATAAACTTTAAGCCCCTCTTCCATGCTTTTGATTCTTAACAGCTGTAACTGACATAAGCAAACTCTTTTAAAGTGACTTCTGGCAATTTTCTGCAGCAAAGTTTTAGAGAACTAGGCAGATGGCTGAGTGTGCAAATTTGGACGTTCTGATTTTGCGTGCTCATTCTGGGTTGATCATAGTTTTGGTTGCCAGTAACTTTTGTGACAATTAAAAGGACAGCCCAGTAGTCATTCATTTATGCAGGGTATGATGTCACTCAAGTCTAAGAAATAATGTCAGAAATAAGTCCATTTTGATCTATACTGAGTTGTACTCCTCCCATAAACAAACAAACATTTAAATATTGTGTAGATGTTAGTTGAATTCTTTCAAAGTATTCCATAGAAGCAAATCATTTGTCTCAAAGCTAAATGGTAACATTAACCCTCGGGATCTGATACGATGATTGTAAAATTTTAGGTAATATGTACATAAATTATTGTATGCTATATTCAAAAAATACCAGAGCTGGATCTTTATACACACTGAGTTTCCAAAGGCTAGAATTCACCCTCCTATTCTCAGTGGATGGAAGTAACCATTTCTCAAAGTCGTTAAGAGTGTTAACGATTTGAAAATGGGAGTACGAGTGCCTTTTCTCCTCTCTTCTTTTGATTTTGCTTTATTTTCCATTTTTATGATTGTTATTTGTATGTTAATAGCAGAAATTATGGATTTTATATAGTTCAAATGTGTAGCAATGATTTAAAAATACATTTTAAAATCTCATTTAAACATTTAATGAGATTTTAATGTTTTGTGTGGTAGCTCAGTTAAGTTTTTAACTTAGAATTTATATTACTCATGGTTGGGCAATTTGAAGCAATCTTTTAACAGGAAAAGAATTTATAACTCATCTGAATCCATATAACCATAGAATTTTCTCAGTATTCTTTTTTTACTACAGATGATAGATTTTTAAGGCACATCTTTGAAATGTGAGAAGCCTATTTTATTGTAAATTCCAGTTTAATGTAATGATGGCTTTCCCCTTTACAGTCCATTTTCAGATTAAAATAAGTTCCAGTTAGAAAATTCAAAGACTTTATTTAAAATGGAATTGAATAGTGTAGATTTTATTATTTTCAGTAAAATGTAGATGGCTATAGTTAAGATATTTCTGTATTTCAGAAATGTCTGTATTCTTGAAACTAAGCATATTAAATAAAAGTTTAAGCAGCATTTTCTCCTAAAAATGAAAATTTATCAGTATTTTTTAAATTAAACAAAGAAAAAATACGTTGTGATAGGCAGCAGAATGACCTTCATTCAGCCTGTACCACAGAAATGTACACAATTGAATGTTAATATTGGATTATTCAGTGGGAATTTTATCACACCCCTTGACCCTTTTAGAAGTTACCTTCTGAATATAAATAGGATTAAGGTTTAGGAAGTTATATTACAGTTAAGATGCCAAATACATAATTATTTTCCATCACTCTCTCAAAACCTGCTTTGTAATCAATTGAAGTATTGATCAGAGTCCTTCACTTTACAGAAAAAAATGTGTATGTAATCACTTGCATGAAGAGAGAAAAAAATATGGGCACAAACATATACATGTCAGTATCTATTCTTCCTCTTTCTCTCATCAAAAGCAACACATGGATTTTTCTATTTCATCTGGACTGCAAATGTCTACACTGGTTAAGCTGGATGACCTTTTACATACCACCACCAGAGGGACCTCAACTGTTCAGTTTAGTAACTTTTTTTTTTCTTTTTTCTTGTATAAATTACTATGTTTGGGCCATAACACAGTTTTACCAGCAGGCTTTACTGGATATACAGTTTCTGATCTTTCTGATTTTTAAAACCAAAAAAAAAAAATAAAAGATGTTTGAATGCTTGTGCTCAATACCCTTTAATACCATTTATACCTCATCTGGTCACCAGATGCACACCTAAGCTGCACTTCCTAGCAAAGAGGTTGTTGAGCCATTTGATATGTTGGCTATTAGGTTTGTTCATATAACTACTCAGCATGACTCACCCTTCATAGTACTGTGCTTCATGACATTTGAAATTTGCAGACATGCATTAATTATCTCACTTGATCATCTCCAGAACCCTGTGAGGAGGCAAAACTGGTGTCAAACTCCACACATTTTGCAGATGTTGAAACTGAAATCCAGTGAGGAAGTGACTTATGGAGGAGACACACAGTTAAGCTGAGATTAAGAACTCATGTTTCACGAGTCTTAGTCTAACACTCTTCCCCCTGAAATCATTCTTGAAAAAGCTTTGTAGCTACCACCTCCCATTTTGTAGTCATGTGGCTCCAAGACCTCCCTAAATTATACAAGGCCATTGCTTAGCTGATGCTGATCCAACCGATGGACACATTCACTCGATCTAGGGGTATGACTGAATACCCTAACACTAAACGAAGACATGGATAAATGTATAATAATGTACATACATACATATACATTGTGGGCTTCCCATAATGATAGTATCCTAACATCTAAAGGTTATCAAGCATTTATTATGCACCTGGCACTGTACTAAGTATTTAAAACAAACAATATATATGTATCCCCTACTGAATTGGTTAGATATCGTCATTCTCATTTTACAGATGATAAAATGAGGGTCAAAGACTTCAAGTAAATTTTCCAAGGGTGCACAAGTAAGGGTTGCAGTCACCATTTGAACCTACTTCTACTGAATTTATAGCTTACTGATTTTACTGCATTTATTTTATCAACATAATTAGTCTTTATATGTGCAAAGCACTATTCTAAATAGTTGATAAATATTAACTAATGTAATCATTGTACTACTCCTGTGTCATATTCCAAATGCTGGTGATTTTTATTATTTGTATTTTATGACATGCATGAAATGTGCACTCCTTTACAGTTCATTTAAAATGTTTTCATACATCCCATGTTTCTTTTGGTCAAAAGCATATGCAAAACACAGTTTTTAAAATGTACAACCATTTTATGGTTTTTTTAAAATGTACTTCTCTTTAGAATACATTAATTTTTTAAAACTTTAACATAATGTGAATAGATAACATAATTGTCTCAACTGATCCACTCACATGTCTGTAATTGTAGTTAAATTTTTCACATGCTACTCAAATTTGTAGTATAAAACTGAATATCCATAAAATTCTTACACAAGTGATTTTCGTTGATTACTTACTGAGATAACTATACCAGATAAAATTATCCCCATACTGTGCTGTAAACAGTAAAATGTGATCACTGTACCAGGTAAAATGTGCCTGTTTTATACTATAAACAGCAGAGTTTGTTTACTATTAGCAGACGAAATAGTGCTTATGTTGTATTAGTAGAGGATGTGAAAAACTTAGTATTTGCAGACCTCATTTGAGGTTTTAATAACTTAGCTAGTTCTTAGATTAGTCACGATACTTTGTAAGAGTCTTCAATCGTTAAAATTAAAATATTAGAATAAGCTTTGTCTATGCATACATAAAATCTTGCTGGCATTTTGATAGGAATTGCTTTAAACCTATAGATCAATTTGGGGAAAATTAACATATTTTCCATGTGAGACTTCCAACCCATGAACACATATCTCTCTCTATTTAAGTGATCTTTAGTGTCTATAATGAGCATTTTGTAATTTTCAACATACAGATCTTGTACATATTTTTAAATGTATATGTAAGTACTTAATTTTCTTTATGGTGAATCTAAACATTATTGAGCTGTTAATTTTGTTTGCTGCATTGTTATTATATAGAAATTCCGTGGGCGGGGGGTGTGATGATCTTGTATTTTGCAGTGTTACTAAGTCGCTTATAGGATATTTTTGAAAATTCCTTGGGAATTTCTAAGTATGTAATGAAATAAGGACAGTTTTATTTATTCCTTCCTTTTTAATCTGAAGAAATTTTCTTTCCTTCCTTTCTTTCTCTCTCTTTCTTTCTCTCTTCTTTCTTTCTCTCTTCTTTCTTTCTCTCTTTCTTTCTTTCTTTCTTCCTTTCTTTCTTTTCTTTCTTTCTTTCTTTCTTTCTTTCTTTCTTTCTTTCTTTCTTTCTTTCTTTCTTTCTTTCTTTCTTTCTTTTTCTTTCTTTCTTTCTTTCCCTCTCTCTCTCTTTCTTTCCTTCCTTCCTTCCTTCTTCTTTCTTTCTTTCACTTATTACAGTGATTGGAACTTCTACGGTAATTGAATAAGAGTAGTGACAGCAGACATCCTGGCTTTCCTATAATCTTAAGTAGCAATGATTTCAGCCTTTCACCATAAAGTATGATATTAGCTGTATGTTTTTTTTTCAGATGTACCTTTTTAAGTTGAAATAATTCCCTTTTATTCTTAATTTGTCGAGAATTTTTATCAGGAATAAATAGGTGCTCTCAGAAGTTAAAAAGGGAGAGTCTGGGGGTGCATCTTTGAGGTGGTTAGAAGGGAAATGTGTACTATTTACTATCTTGACTATCATGGTAGAGACAGGGACCTACACAGGTTATACAATTGTATAGAACTTGATAAAAACACAAATATAAATGAGTACGAGTAAAATTGGGGAAATCCAAAAAGGCAGGTGTATAGTATCACTGTCAATATCCTTGTTGTGGTATTATACCAGAGGTTTACGAGATACTACCACTGTGAAAAAAAATGGACAAAATGCGCAAGGATCTCTCTGTGTTATTTGTTACAACTGCATGTGATTCTATAATTATCGCAATACAACTTTCAGTTTAAAAACTGGAGCTGTTAACTATTTTTTGATAGAACTTTGATCTTTTGAAAAAGGATCACCAATGGAATTAAATACAGATGTGAACATGTCTTATGTGTTTTATTTAGATTCAGTTGCTTCATTAAATAACAGGTAAAATTTGCTGCATATATACATTTAAATTGTCTTAATAATATAAAGTATGTTCAGCAATTAAAATTGTGTGTCTATTTCTAATGTTTCGTGTAATTAGCCATTAGGCATGATTATTTTTATTGATAATTGAGACTGACCTGAGAACTTACATAAGATGCATTCATGGATAGTGAAAGCAGCTAAAGAATAAATTCATTAGCAACCAGAGTATTGCATATGCACATGTATTTTGTGAGTTTCTGCCATTTCTATTTCTCCTTGAGATTGGTCACTAGGGTTACTGCAGTATAGTATGAGAATGGAGAGATTTCATCCCAATACACATTTTGGTAGTTAAACTGTAAAACATACTTCAACTAATTTATAAATTAATTTAAGTTAAAAAACAAAAAAAAGAGCCTCAGTGAGAACACCTCTCTTTTCTGGGAAAAGGTCAAACATAAATTTAGTGTTCCCCTGAGAGTACCTCAGAGCCAAGAGACTACTTACTATTCTTTGACACACCTCTCTGATCAGATGCTCACTAATGACCAACGCTGGGAAGAAAATCTGGAGCTATTTTCATGGGAAAAGAGGAATTAGACTACTGCAGACTTACGAATTCTGCTTAGTTAATTTGGAGAATTAACTACTATGAATTTCTCAATATGAGTAGTTTACTGTAACTTTGACTTGATTCTCATGTTATAATCCACATTTCTGTAAAAATCTGTAGTCTGATCTGTGATGTATTTATGTACACAAATCAGATGGAATCTAGAATTTACTGAACAATGGTCTCCCATCACAATACCAATCATTGTGAATATATGTAAGATATACAGAAATAGATCATGTCTATTGGAAGAAATGGAGAATTAAATAATAATTTTAACTGATATGTGCTTTCTCTCTCATATCTATAGAGCAAAACAAAGGGACTAAAGGGATTAATATTGGTAGTATTAAGTAAAAACCAGACTTACGTAGAAAATACTACTCCAGGATGGCAAAACATTGGAGGATGCTGATTTGAACTGCTATTGATGTAGTTAGTACACATGGGAATGAATTGGGAAGGAAGGAAGAAAGGGCAAGAGGGAAGGAGTTAGGACTGAAGAAAGGAAGGAAAGAAAGAAAATGGGGGAGGGGAGCAGGGAGGGAGGGAAGGATAAAGGGAGAAAGAAAAGAAGAAGGAAAAAAGAGAATCTGGCATTAGAAAAAGTCATGCATGCAGTGACATGCCTTGCCAACACATTTAACACATTTCAAACAACAGAAAATGAATAGAAAAGAATAATTTACATGGTTAAAAATATAAAAAGACCTTTGCATAGATATACATGCAAAGATTGCATGAATAATCTTTGTAGAGAGAATTCCTAGTTCCCAGTGGGTGTTTCAAGCTCTTAAGAGTCCTCATTTTATACTTTTAAATTAAAATGGGAAAAAAAGAAAGACATATGCAATGAAAGAACTGTAGCATACCTAAAGTTTGACCTGACAACCGTTTCCAGATATACAATAAGAATGTTAACTGAACACTGTTAAGACTTGGTTTGGTTTATATTTACATAAGATGTATAATGCAATAGGAGTTGTAAGCAAGACAAGAAAAGATCTTGAAATGGACAGCAAACCGTGGTTTTTGACATAAATAAAATTGAAATTAATTCTGCATTTTCTATACTTATGTGGTTATAAACAGTTGTTTGCTATTGAAGACGTGACAAGATTTACCAGCATACTTAACAGATCCAGGCGTATTACTGAACTTTAGAAGTAATTAACTTTTTTTGAGAGAATTTATTTTTCTAATCAAAGAAATAGCATATGAAATATGTAACCAAAATGTCATTTCAATAAAAAATAATTAAGAAAGTAAGAATAAAGAAGCAAAAATATTTGAATGAATATAAAGGGACATGTAGTAATATTACTGAAAGTAATTTCTGTAGATTCCAACACTGGCCATTGTAGATCAAGGTATCATTTCCATTGGTGGGAGATTTGAACAAATTTTGCAATATATTATCATTATTAGTTGTGTCTATAATTTCCCAGCTTTGAAAAATTTGAAATAAGTATACATTTAAGATTTTTATATGGATATACATTTTGCTTTAAATTAGTTTTTATAGATATGATGAAAAGACATCACAGTTATATAATACTATTAAAATATTTTTAAAACTGTAATCAGTAATAATTATTACAATTAACAATTATAATTTAATTACAATGTTTGAACGTACTATATAAAACTCATGGTTTATTCCTCAATGTAAATATTGCTTTAAGAAATGTTCTTGACAGTTCTTGTCGCTACTGCTTCAGTAGTGAAAAACCCCTCAAAAGGGACTAATCAGTCTATCAAATTTGGCATTTCTGTTACTAGCACACAAAAATCATGTGAACATCTTGATTAAAATAGCATAATCAGTGATTTTGCTGAAATGAAATCCAGTAAAAATTATGGAATAAACATATAATAATGTAAGAATTATATGCCTCTATTCGATTACTCATCTTAAGTAAACAGCCCATAAGTAAATATTCACACATGGATAATAATAATTAAACAATTTTTCTATTTTGCCAACTTTCACTTAAACACAGACACACATATATGTATAAAACAGCCTTACATGTATGTGCATATGAAGAATCCTAACAAAGTTATATAAGTCAGGAAGCTAAAACATATTCTCAGACAGCTTGAATTACACCTATTAACATTCAGTCTTATTTGTATCTTGGTCTCCATGTTTACTCTTGCTATGGGTCCCACAAGTGAAAGGGACAGTCCTGGTTCACAAATGAGTTATGGAGTCAGAGGGGTATTGGAATGAACACATTATGTTTCGCTCTTTAAGGTGCAAGAAGGATTTTGGCTTTTTCTGAGAGTGAAATGTGAAGCCATTAGCAGGTTTTAAGATGAGAGGCAACACAATCTGACAACTCTTTTTAAAAGGTCACTTTTATTTTTGAGGTGAATAGAGAGTCTGTTGCCTTAGCTTTTGAATTTAGTGTTTGGTTTATTTCTTCCCCACTTCTGGTAAATGTTGGTTGATTTTATATTTTATTTGCTTCTTGAAATCTAAGTTATATGACAAGTCAGTTACTTCTTCTCATCTTACAGGAAAATGTGGATTAAAAGAATTTAATGAGAAGTTGGTCCATTCACTCATATGTATTAGAACTGGTGTTGAGTAAAAATCTAAAAAAATCTTTTCTAATCTGCCTTTTTTCCCCATGTAACAAGAAGTCTGGAATTAGGCAGCTTTGAACATCTGTGCAAGGGTGAGATAAAGAAGTCAGACTTCTATCTCTCTGCTGCACCATCTTCATGGTTAACATGTGGCTTCTCAAGCAATGTCATGGGGGAGGCCGACGTGACACAACAGTGGTCACTTTCATCTCTGCTCCCTGCACCAGGAGATCTGCACTGTCATCACTGTCACAACAGTAAAGGTAGACAACAAATAAAAGGGATGGGGACTACATGCTATATCCCTATCTGCATGCATAGCATAAAAGAAAACAACTATAATCAGCTGGTTTTCTTTTAAGATAAAAATAGTTTGTGCTTTGTATTTTGTGTGTTGTGTATGTGTGAGTATGTATGTATGAGAGAAAGGATAAATGAATACATGAAAGAAATACCAAATGCTTCTCAGTCCCATTTGCATCAAGATGGGGAGGTAGTCTGTTTTCCTAAAGGGAAACATCAAAATTGTGCCAATGGAATAAGTACTCTTTGATAGGATGAGATTGGATTGTGTTTTGTTCTCTCGTAATAGTAGATGCAAGATGTGGTGACTCCATTTTAAGGGCTGTCTTTTCTAATCATTTCTTTCTGGTAAAGTGTCCCGTCCCACCAACATGTAAGATATGACCCATTGAACCAATGCTCTTTTGGGAATGTAACTCCTGAGTGAGTCTCACAGGGGTGAAATGTGGTTGGACTTGACACATCTGTTGAGTGAGATATAGACAGAACACTCTTGAGTTAAAGTTTTCAAATCCCAAGAATTCCTATTATTCCTATCTTTCCCAGCACTGCTTTTTTTAAGACATGCCTAGATAGTGTGAGCTATAGCATTTCTAGCACTCCCCTTAGTTTTTCTTTTTTGGGGAGCAGAAGTTTTTCTGAGCTGATTTCTTTTTGTTGCAACTGAGAGACTTCAGTGAGTTATTCATAATGCAAAGGAAATTGACTACTTTGTGTGTGGAGACTGACATTGACTTGGAAGACTCCTTCAATATTTGTTCAAATGTAAGTAACCCAGTCTTCTAAAGATGGTGACATTGAGCACCTTGTTAAAATTTAGTTCATTTCTTAAGGAAGGAGGGTGGGTCATGACTTCCATAAGAAAAGGCTTAGGAAGGTAATTTGTATATGACAGATGTCTCAAAGTTGTAGAGGAGACATTAGATCTGGCATGGAGGTCATGGCCATGGAGAATGTGCTTTCTTTTTATTGATACCAGAGAATATCTAAGGTAATTAGGATTTCAATCTTGTGCCTCCTGTAGTGTACCCCTTTATATACCATAAAACCTTTCTGTTTTCTTGACTATTCCAAAACATCTTTGTATAAATCCATAGTGGTAATTCACCATGTTGGTCTTGTATATGCCTAATGGGATGTTCAGATGAGGGAAGAACTATATTTCTACATCTCATTTTCATTTTTTGATTCAAGAAAAGAAAGTACTGGAGGGTGTAAATCTTCTCTCAGGTACTAAAATTTTTCAAAAAATGTATGGATTGCTATCATCAGCAATGAGATTGAAGAGAGGTCCACGATTTAGAACTCACTGAGTAAGACAACAATGTTCAGTAGGATTATACTTCCTAATTGCCTCATATGTTACCAAAGGCTACTTTTGACAATTCCAGTAAGTAATTTAAACAATTAGTTAATGTTTTTTAATGAAAAGGTAAGTAAAATATCACAATAGGAATACTACAAGTATTAGGATAATACAAGAAACCAGCTAAGTATCCAACAGACTATCAGGGCTTTTCTGAACAAAACTTCTCTGAATGCAAACAGTTATTGTTTGTGAGCCAAACAAATATCTATAGTGCAAAGAAGAAAGGAAGATGAAAAGGACATCTCCTGAGATGGCATTAAATCTATAATCTTTGACCTGATTTCTTCATCTGATTTATTTATTTTCCAGCACCAGAAGGCCATGTGAACTGACCACAAACAAGTACTATTTATCTCAAAATATTTCTTAATGTAATTGATTTTTTTCCATCTACACTGTTAATTTATTAATGTAAGTTGTTATAGAATTCTCTGATTACAGTTTTAATGTTTATATGGTCTGCAACGATGTACCCTCACTTATTCTTAATATTTGTCATTTGAATCACTACTCTTTAATTAGCCTTTCTGAAGTTTATCAAGTCTATTAATGATTTCAAGTATCAAATTATGACTGTTGATTTTTAAAATTTTGTCTATTTTCTGTTACTGATTTTCAGTCTTATTTCCTTCCATACTATTTCCTTCATTCTACTTACGTTGTGTTCTATTTATTCTCCGTAGTTTCTTAAAGTATGTCCTTAGATCAGTGATTTTAAATCTTCATTCTCACAATATAAGGATATAGATTTAGTAACTGCTATAGCTGCTTCCACAAATTTTGTTACGTGGTGTTTTCACTGTTATCCAGTTAGAATATTTCCTTTTGGTCTATGATTTTTTTCCCTTGCTTCAGGGGTTATTTAGAAGTATATCAGTTAATTTCTAAGACTGTGGGGATGTTCCATACATATTTGTATTATAGATTTATAATTCACTTCTGTTATAAACGAGAAACCTTACCTGTGTAATTGCTCAGAAATTTTTAAGACCTATTTATGGTACAGCATTTGGTCTATTTTCCAGTAAGTTTGAAAACGTATTTATTTAGTCATTGTTGAGTATATTGATCTGTAATGTTAATTAATTTTAGTTTGTTGATAGTATTCTTCAAATCTTCTATATCCTCTCTGATTTTTTGATTAACTGTATTCAGCATCAAAAGTAGAATATTACACTCCTCAGCTGAACTGTGGTTTCATCTTTTGCCTAAGTCCTATGAATTCATGCTTCATGTATTTTAAACATGTGATGATAGTTGCATACACAATTTGAATTACTTTATCTCCTTGGTGAATTAACAATTTCATTTTTATAAAATGTCCTTCTTTTCCTAGTAATATTCTTTCCTCACATTAGCTTTCTCATAATTAGATTTTTACAGGATATATCTTGGTCCCAATCTTTTAGTTTTAAGCTGGCTCTTTGTATTTAAAATGCTTTTTGGAATGTTTCCACACATCTTTTTGATATTTATTT